CCCCAAAACCCCAAAACCCCAAAACCCCAAAACCCCATCGTTAAGAATATTATCAAAATAGCAAAAGCAATTTAATTGATATTTATGATAATATAATTGTTAAATTTAAAATGTCAGTTTATCAAGATAGCTTCAACAAGTACACTTACCAGTCTCCAATGAAGTCAACCACTTCTAAATTGCCTGAGGATAGAGAATATTCAGATACTAGGTATCAAGAATCACCTGGCACTAAATTGCTTAAGTATGTGAAGAGTGAATATTTCGGCTAGAAAACTGAGCCTGTGAAAGTATCTGAATAGATTTAGGTAATATAATGGCAGCAATTGACTTTTCTATAGGAATTTGTAGTTAAAATGCTTGAGGAAAACGAAAAATTATCAAAGGAAAATTATGATCTTCATAAATCCAATACTTAGTTTGAGGAATTCTTAAGAGTAATGCTACTATAGATGTCTAATTATATCAATTTTAGAATAATGAGATGGAAACTTTGAATAAAGACAACTTTGTAGGTTATAGAGGTTAAGAAATTTCATAATATGACTGCAGGATGCTACAAATGGAATCAGAAGAAGTAAGAGCTGCAAGAATAGAGAAGATGCTGGACAGAGATACCTAGGATTTAGTGGAATATGTTAAATGGATCACAAATGACCTTGGATTACTTAGAGATAGAGTTAGGATAGCAGAGAAGATCATTAATGATTTGAGAAAGAGTGGAGAAGAAAGTGTTGAATCTCTTTTAAATAATCTTTACACTTAGAGTAATTTCTAATGATAGGTAAATAAATTTTATAGAGAAGAGACAAGAGGAGGTTGAGCAGGAGGCAGATAACTTGAGGGATGTTATTAACACTAAGGAATATGAAATCTCGATCAAAGAGGAAGAAGTGAATAAACTTAAACGTTTAATTGAACTAGAGACAAGTGAGAAGGAGACAGAGATTAAGCGCATAAGACATGACATTGATGAACAATAAAAAGTACTAGATAACTAAAGAAAGATCATCTAGGAATTACAAATTCTTAATGACTTTACTCAGCAAGATATGATCAAAGTTTCAAAGGATCTTCAGAAGCGTAATTAGGAGAAGACTGATCTTTAACTTAGGTATTACGATCAGGATCAAGAAACTACCAACCTCAAGTTTAAATAAAATACTTTAGAGGAGTAATTACATAGCATGAAAAGCTAATATTTAAACACTTAAGGTATTAATCCATAGTCGATGCTAAATAAAAATGCATCAGAAAAATAATCTCCAAGGTCTGGTAAAAAGGAACATGGTAGAAGTAGATCTCAACTAGCTGTTTTCTATGTGCAATGATCTATTCTCAATATTTAAGTATATCAATAATTTAAGTTTATAAGACAATTTTACTTTTTATTTTTCCTTAAATGATTGATATCATATATTGTGAGCTTGGGGTTTTGGGGTTTTGGGGTTTTGGGG